ATGTGGAGTGAGGTTATATAGTACTGGCGAGATTGGCATTATATTGTTGTAGAGTTAATTTATGATTTATCCTGTGTTAGTTTCTCTGTAAGTAATACATTGATTTCTTATACGGTTATTAATCTTATTTGGTAATCCTGCCTCAATTCCAGCAAGGAGTCAAGAGCTCTCATTTGTCATGGATTTCTTCTTAGAATAGGCCATAAACCATTTGGTGTTTTATTTTAGACTTCAATGTACAATTTCCCAAACCATTTGCATGTAATTTCTCGAGTTGTGAGTACAACCAACAAAACTGCGATAGTTAGATTAGCTCATGGAGTTAAATTTTCTAGGACAAATAAATAATGTAATAATTTATCTTGATTAAATAAGGGGAAAAAAACGTTTTACGAAAATGAGAAAAACTTCAAATTTAACATATAACTAAAAATGAGAAACGTATTCATTTTTACGAAAGAAGAACTCAATAATTTGTAAGAGAGAAAAATTTCAGTGTATTTAATCAAATATTTCAATAGATGTCACCTTAATTTACTTTAAATCAAATTATGCTTACAACATCAGTAGCTTTCCACAATATGCTTCTCTAGACACGTTGAGGTTAAGAATTTAAAAAAAATCGGCCCCCCTTTTTGGTCAATAAAGGACACATGTTATGGAAACCGGAATAATTCAATACCAATTTGTTGTGAAAATATAAGAGATTAAGTGCAATATGAAGTAAAGATCACAAAAAAAAAATAATTTGCAAAGAATAGACTTTATTATAGTATGAAAAAAGAATACAAATATTATATGTTTACAAAGTTTCTAACTTCTTCTATCTTCTACTAAAATACAATGAAGAGCCAACTATACATATTAAACAATTAGGAGATGTCCAAACCCTTATAGTAGAGTTGTAGATGAAGTAGAACGACAAAAATGAAGTCCAAAACAGAAAAAGGAGACCAAAACAGCGCAAGAAGCAGAACAGGTGGTGCCGAGACGCTGGGCAGTTTTCTTCCTGCGCTGCGGCGCCCATTCTCGGGTCTTTTACTCCAAAA